TGCGGAGACCGGACCCCACAAGTTGCCTTTGCCAGAAAATAGATAAAAACTCTCCCTATGGGAATTACCCAACCTTTGCAAAATTCAGACTGCCTATCAAAGACTGCAGCTCTATCAACGTAACCTTTCTGGACCCCCTAACATGCACTATGAGCTCCAGAAATGCAATCAACTTATCCCTAGGCAGCCAACATTCCCCTGCCACTGAATCAAACTCCAAGCCAAGAAAACTGAGACAAGTGGTAAGGTCCACCCATTCCAAAGACCGCAAAGAATGGCCACAATGGCCCAAACTGGCAGTGCTCACACACAAGAAGTCATCAAGTGCACTAAAGAACCCCCACCCGATTCCTCCTTCACCACCCACTCCATAAAGGAACTAAACTTTCCGAAGTAGGAACATGAAATGGAGCAGCCCATAGGCAAGCAAAGGTCCACAAAAAAAGGCCCCGTCGAACATGCAACCTAATAGATGGTGACAATCTGGATGAATTGTGAGTAATCGAAAAACCGACTCCACGACAGCCTTCGCCATTAATGCCCTGCGTCCTGCCTTCTAAACCAACTCAACCATGATGGGCAGGAGACAGAAAACCCAGGGCCTCATCAATGTCATCATCCACCGAAGAACCTTTTGGATATGACAAATGATGGATCAGATGGAACTTACCCAGTTCTTTCTTAGGCACCATGCCCAAAGGTGAAATCCGTAAGCCCGCCAATGGAGGTTGTGAGAACGGCCCCGCCACCCTATCCAGCTGAACCTCTTTAGCCAATTTCTCTTGAACCGCTTTTGAATGCTCCGCGAATGACACAATCTATCCTTGAAAGGAATACCAAACCCTTTTGAAAACCCGTCCAACAATAACTGTGCGTCACCCTGGTTACTGTAACGGCTTAGCCAAGGCAACATCGCGCCGACCTTCACTTGGGTTGTCACCAGTGGAAGTGGATGGCACCACCGCACCCCAGCCAGCAGATGCAGACTTTCCCTGCTTGAAGCACCTGTTGAGGCCGTGGGCCCCATCACAGCCCGAACATTCGTGCTTAAACTTACACAAGGCACCTCACTTGCATTGTCCTTCATTAAACATTCAACAGGACCCTTTCTTTTGACTGGCCAATGAATAGGAGGTTGATTTTGCGCCGGCCCCACCCTGAAAGGGCGTAGCTTTCTGAGCCATCATCAGTTTTATCCATAGGGGTAGGTCCATCTGGTCCCACCGCATACCGGGATTAGCCGATAACCTTTGGCAGAACTACTCGTCGTACTTCCACCATGCTAAACCCCTATAAGTACAATAAGCCTCCCAGATCCCATCCAAATAGCAGAAAAACTGAGAATAACACTCGGGAAATTTCTCTCCAAAAACACTAGCCACAATGCAGAATGCCCAAAGCCAATTCCCAAAAGACTTAGGTATCTTCTGATACCTCCGTCTCTTTTCCTCCTCCTCTTTCTTGGCATCTTTCTTATCTTCGTCCTTCAGATCAAAATATTCATCCAAAGGAAGAAGCGAGAAGATC